AGCAGACAGTCTCCGCCGGGGGGCGGGGGTGGACAGCAGCCCCACAGGGCGACCACACGCCCAGGTTGTCTGAGCGGCCGCACCTGGGCTGAGATGTCCAGATCCCGAGATGTCACGGCCTCAGCGGTCAGAGGAGGTGTGCGTCTGGAGAGGGTTTCTGGAAGGTGGGGTTAGGAAGGAGGGCGGGTGTGCTGTCCACTGCATGTGTAGCACTGAGAAGGGCCTAGAGCCTTTATGAAGAGGCAGGGAGGTGGGCAGCAGTGGCGGAAGCCAGGGTCACACACGCTCTGTGACATCTTGGATGACGTGGCAGAGCCCGTGAAGGGGGAGGCGAGGACACGGCTGGCATCAGGCGTGGGGAGCGGACACACCCCGAGCCCTGCGCGTGGCACCCACGTGGGCAGGCAGGTGCAGGGAGCCGGCCCCTCTGTCTTCCAGTTGGCTGTGCTCAGGGGGTGACACGCGCAGGCCACTCGGCCCTAAGAGAGGAGGGGAGACGGGTCAGCTCTGTGGCCCAGGGCCAGCCAGGCCCTTCACCGAGGTGAACAGAGGTGTAAGCAGGGCCAGCCTAGCACCTCAGCAGAGGAAGACATCCGTGCGGTTTAAGCCAGAGACTCAAGCAGCTCACACGTGCATGAGGCCTGCCCTGGCCACAGTCTGTCACATCTCCTGGCTCTGCTCCCCACCCCGCCACCCCAGCCTGTGCCCGTGGCACGCTCTAGCAGCTGTGTGTTCTGTACCCAACAGAGAGCACAAAATACAGAGAATTTGCTTTTATTACTGCCTGTTCTCCAGCCCCACCCATTAAAGCTCACAGTCCACGAAGGACGAAGGCTTTGCTTGGTGCTGACCAAGTCCAAGTGCTCAGAGAGGGCCTGCCACGCAGTACAGGCCCCACGCGTGTTGCTGAATGAATGGATGGACCCAGAGGCTGGGTTCTGTGGCAGGCAGACAGCGGGGCCCCTGGACAGACAGACATGGGGAGGCCCTTGGGACCCACACAGAGGCGGGCTCCACTCCCGTCACCTGGTAGCTCAAAATGAAAAGAGCAAATACTGCTCATCTTGTTTCCTGTTTGTGTGGTAAGCATTTCCCGGTGCCGAGCTGTTTTTGGAGCAGCTCAGCATGTTCGTGAGGACCGTCAGCTGGCTGGTAGGATCACTGGTGCCTGGACATCTAACTCAGCAAACAGCCCTGAGGGTTTCCCGTCCAGAGCCCTCCTGTTGGCTTTGTTCAGATTCTCCGATTTCCTGTTGAACTGAAGAAAAAAGTTCAGAAAGTTTCCTGCACTCATATACGGGCAGGGACGTTAGTCATCATTTTCTTGCCTTAGGTAAAAACTGGCAATACCGTTTTGATGTGCTAATGTTATTCTTCCTTCACACGTTTTCTTTTCTTCCATTAATGAAAATGGTCTGATTTGACCACGCCACGCAGCTAGCAGCCATGCGGTAACTGTCGGGGCACGCCATGGCTCAGCCAGCCCTCGGACACCTGGCGTTCCTGGGGCGAGCGAGCAGGCGGGCAAGCGACAGGGTGCCGGATGTGTCCTGGATGCACAGGGACGGCCTGGGTAACCTGTGCAGCAAACTCCCTCCTTCAGTGTGTTGTGCGTCTTCCCGTTCCGCCTCCTGACCCACCCGTGCTCCACAAAACCACGTTCTTTCATGCTGTAAAACGGAAAAGGATTTCTTTTCAAGCATCACTGCGATTGTTTTGAAATGCCATTCTGTCTCTCTGTTAAGATTTAATTATCTGTTGCAAATAGCATCTGCGAATTAATGTTGCCCAACTCATTTTGGAATAGAAATGATCAAATATTTGGTAGCCAGAAAGCCAAGTGGGGAGAGCTACACCAAACACACAGCTTTCTGCTATGGCTCACGTCAAACACAGCGACATGCGGGAGTCAGAGAGGAAGCGACGAGGCGCACCAGCCGAGCCACCCGGCCATCGCCGCTCTGGTGGGCTCATGGACAACATGCCTGAGGGAGACACACACGCACGGACACGCATGCACACACACGTACCCACAGTGCACACACACAGACAAGCACGTGCGTGCACACGCATACATGCACACTCGCACACAGTCTGGCCCGGGGAACTTCAGCAAGCACCTGGAAACCACCTTCCAGAGGCTGCGGAGACTGACTCTCAAGATTTACCCCCACATGTCTGCTTCTCCCCACTTCACGGAAGTATTTGAATCCTCCCCAGGCCAGTGGGCACATCCCCTCTGAAATGATACTGATGAGCACCGGGCTGTGCTGCCTGGTCTGGAAGTCTCTCAGCTGGAAGTCTGAGCGTCTCCGGCCGCGCGGTGGGTGAGCGCAAGGCCTGCCTCCCGTTTCCTGTGTCTCTGCCCCTGCGCGCACTGCCTCATGGGGGTAATGCGTCTTCCGTCGCGGATACTCTCCTCGAGTTACTCCATCTCCAAATATATTTTTTCCTATAACCACATGTCAGTCAGCCGCTTCACTAGAAAATGATAGTTGGAGAACTGAAATTGCTAACAGTTTTAACACCAAAATTTAACTATTCGAGGTTCAGAATGATGGCAGAATAAATAGTGGCTTTCAGAATTGGGCCCTGTTACAAAGGCAAGTCTCCAAATTGCTCTAATCTCATCTCCAAAGTTGCAGAAGACATTCAGACAAAGTCTGTTTAACTCTAGCGCATCGAGTCCCAAAGTTTCCGGCCGCAGGCCATCCTGGCCTAGCAAACCGAAGCTCGGCTTTAATTTCTCCAAGCGCATGTTGGCTGTGACACTGAGCACCTCGGTCTTCCCTGGCCTTGTGCCCCTGGGGCGGGCCACCGGATGGTCGGCGTGTGTGGGGGCAAGATGGCCCGAGGAGGGCAGGCCGGCCCTGGGCAGGAGGGGCTCTCTGGGCTGTGGCACTTGGCAGACACTGCTATTCCCTCTCAATCTCTGAAGGCTCCAGACAGCCAGGACTGTCACCTTCACCCGGTCCACAGGTGTTTCTGAGAAGGCAGGGTTCAGACGCTTGGCTCGGCATCTTGGAACATTGTGGCGTCATTGTGGTCGGACGAACAGTTGAATTGGGATCCAAGTTGCCTACAGCCGTTTACTCACAGCCGGTGTGGGGGGTGCCCATCGGGATGACTGAGCTTTGCCCAAGCCCAGGGGGGCACTCCCAGGGGCTAACACAGGCCCTAAGTCCCATGAGGGGCCTTGACAACCTCCGTGGTCCCTGCCCGCCCCCTCTGAGCCCCACCCCCATTGCCTGAGACTAAGGACCCGGCCCGGCCATGAGTCTCCCTGCAGGTCCCCTGGCCGTGGGCTGGGCCCTGGGACATGCACCAGCTGAGGTTCCTGGGGACTAGGTCTGCTGCGCTCCTGTGCATACGACTGGAGGTATCCCAAGGCCTCCAGCACGCTCACACCCGGCACGCTCACACCGCCCGTGCTTGTCTCCCACCCTCTCCTCGTCAGTCACGGTGGAGGAGGCTGTGAGGAAGGCGCCGTCGGCCGCACCCCGTGAATGCCGCCAGAAGCTCGGGGCTGGCTCTTTGGGTGAATTGTTATTTTGTAAGAAGCTTCCTTCTAGAAAGCCACTGGCCTCCCGTCTCGGGTGGGTTGCACTGGGCATGTGCATGCATTGGAGTTTCCCTCTGCCGTGTGCAAGCCTTAGAAGGAGGAAGCAGAGTAAGTAGGGAGGGAGAGAAGGGAGAGCCACAGAGGGCAACCCCGCAGTGAGAGCTTCAAGATGACGGAGCCGACAAGTACCAGGTGACCCGCGGCAAGAACAGACGGGTTTCTGTCACTGTTATTCCACAGAGCAGCCTCCCAGACTCGGGGCTAAGCACATGTCGCGGGTAAGCACAGGCTGAGAAAGGGACAGGTTCCCCAAAGCCGTGTTGTTGGGGACAGCGCTTTGTGGATTATATGTTCCCTTGCTGGATGGTGAACACGGACAGATGGCATTTTACGCTCTTTGTCAGAAAGTGTCAGGGAATCCAGGAGGCTGGCCAGCCCTGCTCCCTTCTGTAAGCGCCCTCCCGAGGCCCAGGAGCAGGGCAGTGATGTGGGGGTGACCCGCGCGCAGGGCACCGTCCCCTGCCTGCCCTTCAAGGACTCGCTTCCTGCCCCCCGTGTGCCTCCCTCAGCGTGCGCTCACATTCGCATGGCCTGCTCCCCTCCTGTGAGAGTGCTCCTCTCAGCGGCCCTCCCCCGGTGGGAGAAGGGCTCAGACATGTGGGCCACCTCGCCAAAGACAAATCGGACAAAAATGGTGGCCACGTCTGACACCCACAGCTGATAAGTAACAACATCTGGAAAAGGGCACGATTTGTGTACAAATGAAACACAAACCACAGATTCATCACTTCCCTAATGAGGTTCCCTCTCAATCTTCCCCTTTCCTCAGAACACAGGCGCACCCGCCTGACCCTGACCTTCTGTGATAATTAAGCTCTTTGTGATGCTCTGTCGCCCAGATACCCTCTGATTTTCCTTCCTTCATTTCCAGGGCCCGCCTCATTAGGACAGAGTGACTTGAGCTGAGCGCAGGGGCTCCAGCACGGTCCCACCCACCCGCACGTCAACACGCCACCGAAATCTCAGGTGCTTTTCGGTGTCCGACCCCCAGGCAGCCGGGCTGTGTCTCTGGACCACTGTTGACAGCTCGAGTGCCAGGTTGTGACCACAGTCTTCCACTCTGGGCCTCCCTCCCGGCCGCCGGGGTCCCTGTCATTATCTTGGCCACACGCCCTTTTTAGTTTGTACCCCTAATCTCGTTATCTGTCATTTTTCTGTCCCTAATGCGTGCAGCACTTGCCCACGGAGCCATGCCCTGCGGTGACACCGCCTTCCGACCCCCCGTGCCGGGGCCTGTCTAGTGAATCTCATTAGCTCACGTCCTCACTACACACCCCCCTCTCGAGACTGACCCGGCTCCGTCCCTTCTGTCACCCCCAACAGCAGCGATGTGTTTCCAGCGTCCGCTGTTCTTTCCGGGTGGACGTTGTGAGTTTTCAGCATCCTGCGCGTCCAGCGCCCAGCGAGTCGCTCCTTGCGATGTTATATGGTGCTCTCGCTGGGCCTCCTCTGTGTAGCCTCTTTTATGTCCTTTCCTTTCTCCCAACAAGCCGACAACTGCAGCACAAAATATACCAGCAAGACTCTGCTTGATAAAGCACTAAAAAAGGTATTTTTGAGTTTTTCTCAATTGCCCACTATTTCTTATTAGTGTGTGAAGAGATTCCTGTTTCCTTAAGATGACTATTAGCTCCAGCTAGAAATTTCATTGAGGAGATGCTGCAGAATTTGGCCCAAACATGTTGTGTGCATGCACCTGTGAGGTGTGTGTGACGTGTGAGCATGTGTGTGTGTGCGTGTGTGTGTCTTTTCGGAGTATGCTATCTTTATGTGGTAGAATACCAAAAATCACTTCTATGTACCAGGAAATAAATGGACCTGTGATCTTCATCTTTTTTATGAAGCCCTAAATGTAAAATATATTCTGTAATTACTTCTGAAAGCGACACATTTCCATTTCCCTGGTCTCTCCCTGCAGGATCTGGAGATGGATGTTACCTTAGCCCCACGTAAGCATCGGATGTCGAACACACTCATTTCCTGATCACCCATGTTGACGTGATTCTGGCTTCTCACTGCCGCTGCTGCTCCTTTGGGAATGTGTGTGTTACCATCACCTGCTCCAGTCCCTTTTGTGAATGATGAGAGAAAATATTAAATAGATTTTTTTAGGAATTAATTATCATTGCCACATTTCAGAGACCCTATCATCTCCCGGCGACCTACGGCTCTGTAAAGTCACACTGAATTGCATAATCTGTCTTAATACTTCATGGGGCCTTCCTTTCATCTCTGAGCGTGGCTTTCTCACCTTTTTTTTTTTTTTTTTTGGTAACTTTTAAACTTCATTATGAGATAGGGTTTGCATTTGGCCCGGTCCTGGTAGTTTATATCTTACAGGAATTTCCCCTTCGGCATCCATCATTTTTGCCCTGCCTTCTCTGTAATCACAACACTTAGCATTTATATAGTGCACATCTCCGAAGCGCTCCACAAACTTATGGAGGTTTAATTGTCTTGCCCTCGTGGGCCCTGCTGGAGCGGCTACCAGAGGCCCAGACGCTGCCTCGGAGGCCCGGGTAGTGTCCCGTGGGCCCCGCCGGCCTCTCTCTGACCTCCCAGGTAATTCCACACGCAGAGGCCTTCTCCATCAGGAGAGCCACATCCTTCAGAGCGAGCCGCAGAGCGTACTTACACATCTCACCCCATTAAAACTGTAATCGATTTCTAAAGCGTACAGTGTAGCACTGTTAGCGGGGAAACATGCCACATCGAACACAGAAGAAGATGGAAAATGGGGGCCATCCGCTTAAATATGTAGCTTAGTTACTGTCAGCAATCGGGTCAGCGGGGATCAAGCTTCCCAGAAATGCCCAGCACCAGGGATCAGCGGGCACATGTGTGCACGGCGACCAAGTGCCGTGTAGGCTAAAGCCACCCTACCCCGGAGCAGTGCTGTGGCCGGGCGCCTGCGAGCATCCTGACTCGGGATTGCGCCTGGAGATGCGCGGAGACTCACTCAGTAACTTCTCTTATAGAAACAGCAAGGCACCGTCCTGTCCGAAGCTGAGAATTAAGAACACATTGTGCTTTGGGGCTCATTCAATTTTTGCTTTCTCTAGAGAAGGCTCCTTTCAGACAAACGGCACGTCTTCTCGGTGACATCTTCTGACGTTTCCCACCAGATGACCATCTCACTGGCCCCAAGATCATTTCCCTTCATGTCTTGGACCCCACCTCTGTTACCAACGTTCATTTTTAAGCCTTGAAACTAAGTATAAATGTACAACCAAGCTGCAGAGAAAACACCTTCTAGTGGGTACTCCTACTAAGGCCTCTTGAGCGACATTTAAAAAAACAACAGTTTATTTAGTAATCCACTAACTGAAAGTTGAAACCCTTTGGGAGCGTGGGCTCTTACGCAGGGTACGACAGCGTGGATAAACATATTGATGACTCTCAGGCATGGCAAGTTCTGAAGAGCCTCTGGATTATTCGATAAATATTAAATTATGTTAAGATTAACTTTTTTTAACCGCTGGAGAATTAACAGTTCAGTTACAGGGCACAAGTGACAAGGTTATTAACGAAGTTTCTAGGCTGCCTGATGTACTGCATATGTTCACGGCGTATATTAGGACGAGTATATAATAGGGTGATGCTTTTCTAACTGGAATATCTATTATACAAGGCTTTTGGCTATTCCAGTGGAACTGATGAAATGGTAGTATATGGGGCTCAGGGGTTACTCCTTATCAAGATAAGCACACCTGGGCATCAGGACGGTTTTGCTGACCTGGAAAGTCATATACTTTGTAGAATCCACAACCAGGTGAATCAGTACCTGGGACCTGTAATTAAATCACTTATAAAGGCTATAAGTGCAGGGCCAAGTTTATTGATTTCCTTGAAAATAATAATGTCTTGACCTTGCCACTGTTCAAATAGGATTAAATAAATCTTCCCAGCGGGACCACGATAAAAGCAAGCAGGCTTCCTTCTCTAATGTGAATCTGCTGAGATTGTCCAAGACACTGACTGACCCTGTTACTTGTTGGACACACAGGAATGAGGTTGAGATCTTCTTTTCCAGTTAATCCTGATTGGAATATGATTAGCTTTTCCTATGGATTTATCTCTAGCACTGTGAGCCCTTGTCACTAAATGTCCTCAAAGCGTAGCCTCAAACTTCCACTTGCACAGACGCCGAAGTCATAATGATGAGCAAAGCCAGACACGTTCCTTCCGTTCTGTTGGACAGTGCTGTTCTCAGAGCGCACGTGTGTGCATGCACATGTGTGTGTCTGTTGGTGCCTGTGTTAGCACACACGTGTGCTAGCACATGCATGTGTGTTCGTGTGTGTGGAAAAATGGAAAGGCAGTTAACGAGCTTGCTGGTGATCTGGGGCGACAGAGAGAAGGAGGAAAAATACCCCTCCTTGAGGGAGAAGAAGGTGTTGAGGGTCCCGCTAATGAATATGCAGCGACCCTCAGAGAGTGTCCTCTTCTAGAAAGGAATGGAGTGCCATCTAGGAAGGGGTCAGGGAAGGCTTTTCCAGAAGACATAGAACTTCATCTGAAATGTGTCTCTGCGCTTGCACGTATTTGTGCACAGACATGCAAGGTGCACAGGTGTGTCTCTGTTTGCATATTTGTGCACGTGTGTGCAAGGTACACGAGTGGATCTCTCTGTGTGCATATATGTACACGTGTATGCACAGTGCACGGGTGTGTCTCTGTGCTCACCTGTATTTGTGAGTGTGTGTGCAAGGTGCACGGGTGTGTCTGTGCTCGTGTGTATTTGTGCACATGTGCAAGGCGCACGAGCGAATCTCTCTGTGTGTGCATATTTGTGCACTGCGTGCAAGGTGCACAGGTGTGTGCGCAGGCGTATGTGCATGTGTGTGTGCGAGGCACACAAGTGTGTCTCTGCTTGCGTGTATTTGTGCACATGTGTGCAGGGAGCATGAGTATGTCTCTGTGTGTGCGTATTTGTGCACGGGTGCCTAGGCAGGGGGCTGCGGTTTGGACTCAAGGCAGAGCAGCACGAAGGCTTCAGTGACAGGTGGCACCTTGCTGTCCAGACCCTGAGGGAGGCCCCATGAAGCTGTGACTCGGTGGTGGAGGCTGGTGTGAAGGTGTCAGACTCACGTGTGTCAGGCTCACCCTGGGGTCAGTGAGGAGAGCCAGTAGGGAGGCTCTGAGAGAGAACACACTGCCTGAACGTGAGCGCCTCTGAGCCTCACACATCTGTAGGTGGACACACAGACAAGAGAGTGCCGCTGGCACCGGGGAGATGGGGGGGTGGGGCTCAGGGACAGAGGGGCCCCGGCAGCCACGCCTTCTGGCCAGCCTCCAAAGCCCCACCCCTTCTGTTTGCTGTGCACACGTCTGTGGTCCTGGCAGCCCCCCCCCCCACTGCCCTCTCTCAAAGCACCACTTGTAAAAGTGGCCGTGGCCTCAGATGTCAGACGAGCGTGGCCAGGCTGAGGTGAGGACATTCCTGAGACCCTGTTCCTGCCTCCTTCCGACTGCACAGAGGCCGTTCTCGCTGGGATTTTCCGGCTGCCGTAACAAACTGTCCCGATGGGGCGGCTTAAAACGGCAGAAGCGTGTCCTCCCCCAGTCTGGAGAGCAGCAGTCAGAAAGGAGGCCTGCTCGCTCCCTGGGGGCTCTGAGGGGGGGTCTGCTCCCACTCTCTGGTTCCCGGCAGCCACGGAGGTGCGTGGCGTCCCTTGGCCCCCAGAGGCATCATCCCGATCCCCGTCTCTGTCGTGCCACGGCCACCTTCTCCTGTGTGGGCCTCTGCGTCTCTTCCTACAGGGACGCCAATCACAGATTCGGGGCCCGCTCTGCTCCAGCGTGACCTCATCTGAACATCTGCAAAGGCCCTCTTTCCGAATAAGGCCACGTTCTCAGGTATGGAGGGTCGGAGCTTCTGCATCTTTCGGGAGACACGATCCAGCCCACAACAGCTGGCTGTTGGCCTTTCAGCTGCTCGAGTTTGGGCAGCCAGATCCCAGAGCGGGGACGCTTTACTGAGGCACCCTGGGAAAACGTAAAAGAAAGAGAAGCTGGCACTTGTCCTTGAAGAGCTTCAAACTAAAGTCCAGACTTGATTTTCTTCCTTCATAAACACCGCGGGACTGGGATCCGGGATAGCTGGGTACCTGCATCCAAATACTGCTTTATTGCTCCTGCCTTGAGATGACCTATCAGACTGTTCTGACCACGGGAACTGTCACATGGGACCTAACGAGTGTGCAAAGGTCCTCCCTACGGAGCTGGCTTCATTACGCAGACTTACGGACACGCGGAGGTCTGTGGTCATTGATTGAGCTGGGGCCGCTCACTGCTGTGTGCCCGTTGCTGTCAGAATTCTAAATACAGGCATTCGACGCTCCTCGCTGAGCCTGCTGTGGGCCCAGCCGCAGAGCGGGAGACCCGGGTGCACTGAAATCGGGCCGTGCCCCGGGACTGGTCCCACACCCCACGGTCTGCAGCGCTCTGGAAGATGCAAAGGCTTCCGTGGCTTGACTTCCTGTGGTCCTTCTTCCACAAAGCTTGCGGGGACGTCTGAGGCCCCATCCCATCATATGCCGGCATCTCCATACCGCATCTGTCACCAGCATGGTGGCCGAGGGAGGTCAGCGTGAGGATCGTTCAACAAACAGTTCATCAGAATAGGGTTCACATCACCATCAAGACCTTGAGCCCAGGTCTTTCCCATAGAGGCAGAGTGCCTCAGCTATTTCTGGTCACTCCTGAATCACCAATCAAAACCTACAGCAGGTAGTACGAGCTCTGTCACCATCTGCTGGGAAGGTGACCCCACCCCTCCCCCTCAGTGTCACAATCGTGAGGCACCAGGCTTTCCAGTCAGGGCAGCAGGGGCTGCACGCGGTCGCAGCCATGCTGACATAGCGTCTCCCCCATGCCCGGCCCCGGGCGGCCAGCCAGGGCCTCGCGCAGCCGCGCGCCCCAGCACGCCACACCGACGTCGTCGTCTTGGCACGGGAGGGCCTGCAGAGGGAAAGCCTAGAAGACAGGATATCGGGGCCTTTGAGAAGAGTGCTTTTTACTTAATTGCCAGTTTGGTTCTTTGAGGCCTGATCTAAGCCCTGCTCGGTACTGCGCCGCCTTCCCATTTGACCCCCAGCCATTCAGGAAACCTG